GGTTGTTTTGAGTTGGACCTGAAATTTCCTGAAAAACCCTTACAGAGCATGTTAAGAATGGATTGGGGGTGTGTGTACTAGGTATGGGAAAAACCTTTGAATAGTACCGGGCAGGAACCAAGCACAGCTTCGGGAACGGGAGCTGGGAGTGTTAGGGCGGTTGGGGAACGAAGGAATGGGTGGCACAGAGGACTGCGGTTTTTCTGCTAGCGGCTTCAAGCAACAGAAGGTGCGGCAGTAGTGCTGCAGAAAGGAAAACTGTTCCGGTTTGGTGAGGCAGGACAAAATGGGACAAACCTGCTTTGCTCGCAGCTCAGGGCCCCTGGCGCACACACGTGGCTAGCACTAAATGAGAGCACGCAGCTGGAAGTGGCAGTGGTATTCCCTGCTGTTCTCTGTAGTCAGTTTGTGAGCAGACCGCAGCGGTAGCTAGCTCAGTCGGTAGAGCATGAGACTTTTAATCACAGCGTCGTGGCTTCGAGCCCCACGTTGGGCGCCAACTAATGAATGAAGGAGCTCTGTAACCTGTGAGATTAAGATATCCTTTATTGGGCTGGAGAGATGGCTCAGAGGTTAAGAGGACCAACTGCTCCTCCAGAGGTCCTGAGTTCAATTCCCAGCAACCACATGGTGGCTCACAACCATCCATTATGAGATCTGGTGTCCCCTTTCTGGTGTGCAGTACACATAAGCAGAATATTGTATACATAATCTTAAAAAAATCCTTTATTAGAAAAACACAAGCCAGAGCATGCCAGGGGCAGCAAGGCGGGGAGGCCAGAGAGAAGGGGCTCCCATGTGCCTTATCTATCCCTTTAAACCCTATCACTCATCATCCTGACTTTACCTCGCCATCAGTGCGTGGTCAGGCACACCTGTAGCCAGCTTCTAGCAGGCTTGGCTTACACTGTCCCCTACACACTGTAGTTGAAAAACCAACAAGAGTGTTATATTTTATTTATTTTAAGCACTTTTTTAAAAAAGGTGAGAGTGCTCTGTCTGCATGTACACCTGCAGGCCTGAAGAGGGTATCAGATCCCATTATAGATGGTGGTGGAATTGAACTCACAACCTCTGAAAGAACAGTCAGGCTCTTAACTGGTGAGCTATCTCGCCAGCTCTAAGCACTTTTTTTTTTAAAGACAAGGTCTCACTATATAGCTCTGACTGTCCTAGAACTCACTATGTAAACCAGACTGTCCTGGAATACATGTAGATCCACCTGCCTCTGTCCCAAAAGTGCTAGGATTAAAAGCATGTGCCATCACACCTGGCTTTGTTATATTTTCTTTTAAAAAAAATTGGAGAGATGGCTCAGTGCTTAAGGACATATATTGTTCCAGAGGACCCAAGTTCAGTTTCCAATACCCATATGAGTGGTTCACAACTGCCTGTGGGCACCTGCATTCACATGCACACACATACAGAGAGACAATTAAAAAGAAGAAAAGAGGCTGTAAAGAGTTTAGTAAGTGAAGTACTATTCCATGTTTCATACAGAACATGAAGACCTGAGTTGTGTCTCCAGAACTCACATAAAAATACCAGGCAAGGTGGCAGGCTTATAATCCTGGTGCTCTGGAGGGAGAGGCAGGAGGGTGTCTGGAGCTTTGGCTTAGCCTGATTGACACTTTTATGTGACACTTTGTCTCATAAAACAAAGTGGATAGCTCCTGAGGAATGACACGTGAAGTTGACATCTGGCCTCTACAAACCAGTGCACACATAGATGTATACCCATAAGTCCACACACTCACATAAGCACACACCTGCCCACCCCATGCACACCAAATAAAAATAAAAGTAAAATATGAGTTTTAAAAGGAGTCAAGTATCATTGGACAGCCTGAAATGATAGCCTCCCTTCCACTATTATCTCTATTCTGAGTCAGTCCATCTCCAAAGCCATGGCTCCTGGTGTTTCGGTGCTAACCCTCTGTTTTTTGTGCTAACCCTCTGTTTTTTGTGCTAACCCTCTGTTTTTGTCATCAGCAAAGGGTAAGGAGGTTGAAAATGGTCTCAGGAGGAAGAACTGAAAGAACTAGAGGGGCTTCATCTGCCAAAGAGATGCTGGGGGCACAGGTATGCTGTCCTCAAAGCAGCTTGCAGGCCTGGGGGATGCAGAGCAGAAATGTGCCCTGCTACAGACGGACCCACAGGATGGGCACCAATGGAGAGACAGATGTTAGCTTAGTGAAGGGACAAGCCATCTTTAGGCAGTACATCCATGCATACATGCCCATAGAGAGGGCTGTGAAACACTGATGAAGGGGATGGAATTTTAAGTGCAGTGGTCAGGAAGTCTGTACAAAGGTACTTTTTTGCCTCCTGGAACTGAGACTCTAATGTCACTGTGGAAAGGGCATCCTGGAAGAGAGAAACAGCATATACCAAGAATGTGAGTTTCCAGGGAGGCCAGAGTGATGGGACTGAGGAAAAGATGTAGTAAAAACTGACAGGGGCCAGACTTGTCTGGCGAGTGGATGAAAACAGATATTTTGATTTGGTTGTTTAACAAAAATATTTATTCTCTCTCTCTCTCCCTCTCTCTCCCTCTCTCCCTCCCTCCCCCCCTCTCTCTCTCTCTCTCTCTCTCTCTCTCTCTCTCTCTCTCTCTCTCCCTCTCTCTCTCTCTCTCTCCTCTCCCCTCTCTCTCTCTCTGTGTGTGTGGGTATGGGTGTGTGCGCGTGCGTGCGTGCGTGCGTGCGTGTTTGCGTGTGTGTGTGTGTGTGTGTGTGTGTGTGTGTGTGTGTGTGTGGGTGGGGTGTTGATGTCACAGTGCAAGTGTAGAAGGCAGATGACGATTCTCTAGAGTCAGTTCTCTCCTACCTGGTGGGATCGAGGGATCAAAACTCAGGTCATTGGATCTATTAACAAGCACTGGACCCACCTAGCCATTTACTGGTCCGGTTTTTGTTTTTGTTTTTGTTTTTGAGATGGACTTTCACACTGTAGCCCAAGCTGGCCTGGAACTCCCTGTAGTCCACTGTCTTAGTTGGGGTTCTGTTGCTGTGAAAAGATACTGTGACCACAGCAACTCTTATAAAGGAAAACATGTTACTGGGGCTGGCTTACAGTTCGTAGGTTTAGTCCATTATTGTCATTGTGGGAAGCATGGTGGCATACAGGCAGACATGGTGCCGGAGAGGGAGCCAAGAGTTCTGCATCTGGATCCGCAGGCAGCAGGAAGAGACAGGGAGTCACTAGACCTGGCTTGAGCTTCTGAAACCTCAAAGCCCACTCCCCAGTGACACACTTCCACCAACAAGGCCACACCTCCTAAAAGAGCCACTCCCTATGGGCCTATGGGTGGCATTTTTATTTAAACCACCACACTGCTGGCTTGAACTTGCAGTGATCCTCTTATCTCAGCCTCCTGAATACAAGGATTGCAGATGTAAACTACCATGCTCTTAAGAACAGCCTCCAGTTCCTTTTGCAAGCACTAGTTAGCAATCCCTGTCTATGAGCCTGATACAGTGACATATACTTCTAATTCTAGCACATTTAGGAGGCAAGGGCAGGAGGATCAGGAGTTCAAAGTTATCATTGTATACATACGGAGTTCAAGGCCAGAGTGGACAATGTAGGACCCTGTCTCAAAAAACTTAAAAGAAGAAAAAAATTTCCTGTCTTCACACCAATGAAGATCAAGTAAGATGAGACTGTAAGACCCCCGGAAAGCTCAGGCTTTCAGGATCTTAGCCCAGGACCGGGGCCACCCCAGGCAGAGGTGAAAGCTTGTTGCAAACTGCATGAGGCTTTATTGTTGTTTAATGAGCTAACCCCATGTTAGCTCGGGTCTTTCATCCACCCACCAAGGCAGATGTCTAGCAAAGACAGTTCGAAGCAGCTGCATAGAGATCTTATAGGGCAGCATAAGGGGAGTGTCTAGGGGTATGCACAGGCTCAGGATTGGTGTGCCTCCAGGCTTGGAGGCTTTGCCCTGTGTTGATTGGTCAACTGGTAGTTATGGCCCATAGGCCCGCCCAAGGTGGTTGCTATGCTCTGTGCGTCATTGCTGTGCACTTGTCCATAAAGCACACCCAGAGCCGTAAAGCATAGCACAACCAGCTAACTTCTGATTGGTTCCTTGCCACGAGGCAGGCATCTAACCTCTAGTGACCAATTCAAGGTCAGAAAAGCACGTGTCTGGCTGTTATAGCTGCCAAAATGGGGAGCTGGTCCCTTCAAGACTATGCTCCCAAACTTCTAAGGCGTTGATCAAATAAAAAGCGACTTACGCCAGGTGTTGGTGGCACACGCCTTTAATCCCAGTACTCGGGAGGCAGAGGCAGGTGGATCTCTGTGAGTTTGAGGCCAGCCTGATCTCCAGAGCGAGTGCCAGGATAGGCTCCAAAGCTACACAGAGAAACCCTGTCTCGAAAAAAAAAAAGTGACTTGTAATTTTTGTGGCTTTTTAAAGAAAGAGAGACACTGGCCTTGAAGGAAAGACCCTCTTACCTCAGCCTTCCAAGGGCTGGATATTCAGACATGAACTTTATCCATCATGCTTTATGGGTTACCATAAATGAGGCAAAACAGTTGCCATAAGAAAGTTCGAGTGCCATCTGCCTCCTCATAGAGATAGAGGGTGTCAAGAGGCTGTTTCTTGCTTTTAAAAATTATTATATTATTATTATTATTATTATTTTAGTTTTTGAGGCAAGCCCAGACTCACTATGTAGCCAAAGATGATTTTGAGCTACTACTTTTTTTTTTCAAGACAGGGTTTCTTTGTCTAGCCTTGGCTGTTCTAGAACTAACTCTGTAGATTGGGCTGGCCTCAAACTCACAGAGATCTGCCTGCCTCCTAAGTGCTGGGATTAAAGGTGTGTGCCACCTCTGCCTGGCCTGATTTTGAACTTCTGATCTGCCTGTATTCACCTCTCAAGTGCTGGGCTTATAGACATATGGTGCCATTTCTAGCTTTATCACTGGAATCAAGGATAGGGCATTGCGCATGCTAAGTATTCTACTGTTTCTTGCTTTTCATTTAGGAATTCCATCATCCAAAGTTAAATCTTCTTCATCGGGAGAACTTCATATGGAATCTGAAAAACGTTCCTCTTCTAGAGAAATACATAGGTGCCCTAAGCCAGAATCGAAACCGGGAGATTGTTGAACAGGTCATTCAGCTGTTCAAGGAAGAAGTAATGACCAAATTAAGCCATTTTCGAGAATGTGAGTATTTTCCCAACCCAATATCAGTTTAGTTAACATCCCTGCTCCATTCTTCCTGATGCCCTTTCCCCTCCTGCTTCCATGAAACATGAATCCCATTACCCTCTCTTTCCACATATATTCTTCTTAAGATCTCTTCTTCCCTTTCTTGGGTTTTCTTCTAGATTCATGTCCTGCACCAAATACATACACACACAAATTAAATATAGAGTCTGCATATGAGAGAAAACATGCAGTATTGTCTTTTTGAGTCTTGTTTATTTCAGTTTAACAGAATAATCTCTAGTGGATTCATTTCCTAGCAAATATCATGATTACATGGTTTATTTCACTTTAACAGAATAATCTCCAGTGGATTCATTTCCTAGCAAATATCATGATTACATTTTTATTTATGGACAAATAAAATTCTATTATGCATGTGCACCATTTTTATTTATCCATTTTCTCTGTTAATGGATATCCATGGTGGTCCCATTTCCTAGCTATTTGAATAGTTCAGCAATAGACACGGAGTGTACCTTTGTGTACACTGGTTTTGAAGTTTCTACTTTAAAGTAACAATCATTTATATTCACATGTTAATAAATAAGAAAGATCACAAACCTTACTACCTCTTTTTTTAAAGCGTATTCTTAGATCGGAGAACTTGTGAGTGCCCTAAGTTATTATTAATTATATTAATATTAATTTCTTGACCTTTAGTTTTTGAATAGAATAGAACATATCTTCCCATCTTGTTCTTTTATATGAGTCTTAACTGCCAAATGTGGAGGCAGAGGCAGGTAGATCTCTGAGTTTGAAGTCAGCTTTGTCTACAGAGCTAGTTCCAGAACTGCCAGGGCTACACAGAAAAACCCTATCTCAAAAAACAAAACAAAACAAGAATATTGACTATTTTTCTCTTTGCATTTCCATATTAGTTTTAGGATCAGCAAACCATAGGTTTAAAAAAGTCTGTTGACACTTTGGATTTCAATTGTTTTGTAGTTAAACTTGAAGAAAATGGTTATTACAGTATGTTTATATTTATAAAACTAGTATAATCTATGAACAAATTTTACATATACCCATAAGAAATCTTTATCCCTAAGATGTAGATAGACAAGTAACACACAGACATTGGGTTTTACATATGTCCCTAATGAGGAATTACACAATAAACATTTTAAATTTTATTATTTATTTTGGGATGCCAAGCTGTAGCACATATGTGGAAGTCAGAGGACAACTCGAAGGGTTTTTCTCTCCTACTTTTGAGTCCCTGGGTTGAACTCAGCTTGTCAGGCGTGGCACCAAGCGTCTTTACCAGTTGGGTTACCTCACTGGCCCGGTATGTATTTTTTGACAGTGCTGCAGATCAGTTACAGGACTTTGCACATGCTGAACAAGTACTCTACCACTCCTGTATCTCAAGCCTATGCTACAATACTTTTTTCTTCATTTAATATGTTTGATTTAAGAAATACTTATATTTTATTTCATGTTCCACTTTTTGTTTGTTGCTGATATTTCAAAGCGATACTTTATTGCATACGTGAGGGGCTCTCCTCAGGTGTTGGGTAGGGAAATGAGCCAAGACAGGTGAGAATGAAAACTCAGTTCAGAGCTGGGTGGTGGTGGTGCACCTTAATCCCAGCACTTGGGAGGCAGAGACAGGCAGATCTCTGTGAATTCAAGGCCAATCTGATCTACAGAGTGAGTTCCAGAACTGGCTCCAAAGCTACAGAGAAACCTTGTCTTGGAAAACAAAAAAATCAAAAGAAAAAAAGAAGGAAGGAAGGAAGGAAGGAAGGAAGGAAGGAAGGAAGGAAGAAAGAAAGAAAGAAAGAAAGAAAGAAAGAAAGAAAACTCAACCTGCATCAAACCTAAGAGAGTCTGATGCCATAAAGTTTATTGTCAGTATATTTAAACACAGTATAATTTGGGAAAAATTTTCCTGGTGTAATACTATCCCTGGTGACAAGGAAGCATAATTACTTCAAAACTCAACTCAGGGTACATGTCATTTCTTCTAAGAAGATAGGTTCTAGAGATAGGCTACCTGTACTAGCTTAAGGGCCTAAGGAAGGCTCTGGTCTGGTCTCAGTCATACAGATAGCATAGAAGTCATTTGGGTCATTAGCCAGCCACCTCTGGTGCTGGTTGTGAGAGCCTGGGGGAACCTCTGGTTATACAGATAATATAATTATTAGGTAATGTAATATGTTAGATATCTCTGGTCCCGATTGTAGGAGCTCAGTATTGCAGAGGTGAGATGGCTGTAAGGCTCATTTAGATTACTAGCCACCTCGATATGTGGCTCATTTAGATTACTAGCCACCTGTTTGATATGGCCTGGCCCAACAGATAACATAGATCACCTGGCTAGTAAACACTTCAATTCCCAGCCTTCTGGATGGAAGAACAGGTTTTATATCTTTCCCATTGGAAAAGCAATCCTGCATGCTTAACATTCCTGGTTTCTCTGGAGATCTATGGGCACAAGGGTTTTTGTGATGTGCTCCCAACACATCCATACATTTTATTTTACATTTTGTGTGTGTGTGTGTGTGTGTGTGTGTGTGTGTGTGTGAAAGCCACACTCAGGCACACAGGGGGGCCAT